ACTGACCCTCCGACAGTGCAGCACTCCCTCTGTACTGACCCTCCGACAGTGCAGCACTCCCTCTGTACTGACCCTCCGACAGTGCAGCACTCCCTCAGCACTGACCCTCCGACAGTGCGACGCTCCCTCAGCACTGACCCTCCGACAGTGAGGCTCTCCCTCAGTACTGACCCTCCGACAGTGCGGCTCTCCCTCAGCACCGACCCTCCGACAGTGCGGCACTCCCTCAATACTGACCCTCTGACAGTGCGGCGCTCTCTCAGCACTGACCCTCCGACAGTGCGGCACTCCCTCAGTACTGACCCTCTGACAGTGCGGCGCTCCCTCAGCACTGACCCTCTGACAGTGCAGCACTCCCTCAGTACTGACCCTCCGACAGCGCAGCCCTCCCTCAGCACTGACCCTTCGACAGTGCGGCGCTCCCTCAGCACTGACCCTCCCAAAATTAGAAACCATCAAAAGGTGAGGGAGTAGATGAACTTTAAGTGTAAATTTGCAAGTAATATCAAGATGGACAGTAAGAGCTTATTTAATCTACAAAAAGAAATAGAGAATGAGACTGGGGAAATATCAATCGGGAACCAGGAACTGAATAAATATTTTGCATCAGTCTTCACAGCAGGAGACACTAATAGCATTCCAAGATTACGAAATATTCCTGGGGCAAAAAAAAACAAACAAAATAAATATAATAACTGTCAATAGAGAAAAAATACGAAGGAAACTGACGAGGCTAAGATCCAATAGGTCCCTTGGACCTGATGGGATGTATCCCAGGATTTTAAAGGAAGTAACTACAGAGATCAGGGAGGCACTGGGAGTAATCTTCCAAAATTCGTTGGATTCTGGAAAAGTCCTAGAGGATTCGAAAACTGCTAATGTTTGTTTAAGAAGGGAAGGACACAAAATAAACAGCCATTGGCCAATTAATATAATGTCAGTTATTGGGAAAATGTTAGAGTCTAATCTAAAGTATGTAACAGCAGAGCATTTAGAAACATGGTCCAGCAGCATCAACGTGGCTTCATAAAGGGGAAATTCATGCCTGACAAATCTACCAGGATTCTTTGAGGAAGTAACAAGCAGGATAGATAAAGGGGAAGCAGTGGATGTAATATATTTGGATTTTCAGCAGGCATTTGATAAGGTATCACATGTTAAGTGACTTAATAAGAGCCCATGATGTTGGAGGTAATATGTCAGCATGGAGAGAGGATTGGCTAACTAATAGAAGACAGATCACTCCTGGGGCCACAATAATTTACGATGAAGTCTTGGATGGAGAAAGTGAATGGCCAAGTTTGTGGATAACATAAAGACAGGTGGGAAGGTGAGTGGTGAGGATGACACAAAGAATCTGCAGAAGGATATAGACAGGTTAAGTAAATGGGCAAAAACTTGGCAGATGGAATATAATGTGGGAAAATATTTACTTTGGCAGGAAGAATAGAGGAGCTGAATGTTATTTAACAGAGGAAAGACAGATGGGTTTTGAAGTCCTTGTGCATGAATCAATAGCATCCAAGTCTTCAGGTCGAGAAGAATGAGGGGTGAACTTCACCTACAGGCTCTCTCTCTCACTTCACCATGCTTCCTCTACCCATCACATTCTGGTCAATGTCTGGTTCTCACCCACACTGTCACTGCACATAGTCTTGGCAAAACCCATATGAATCATCTGACAATTTTCAATCCTGCCCGATTACTGCTCACCAGCAGCTCCCTCTGCCCGCTGCCTCGGGTTTGACCCTCTTCCAGCTTTTCTCAATGTCAATTCCTTCTCTTTACCAGGTTATGATTCCTTGGTAAACTCAGCGCTGCTGGCTATTCTGCGGCAGGAGATTGATCGATTTAACCGGCTACTGTCGGTGGCTTGTTCCTCCCTCCACTCCCTATGCCTTGCAGTGAAGGGACAGATCATCCTGACAGATGCTCTCGAGGAGACCTACAACTCCTTCCTCAGCATGAAGATGCCCAAGCTTTGGCAGGTAACATATTGCATATTGTTCGGACATGGTCAACCCATAAAACCTGCAAAAGACAGAGGGATTGGGTCAGAGATAATAAACTTCAAAAGGACACAGGTTGGTGGAGAAACAGAGAAACCGAGAAACCTAATGCAGAAGAATGTAAGGTGATTAATTTTGGTGAAACAATAAATATTACGCAGACCAGGCTTGAACATGGTGGAATCAACAGAGTGTGGAGCTGGATGAACACAGCAGGCCAGGCAGCATCAGAGGAGCAGGAAAGTTAACGTTTCGAGTCAGGACCCTTCTTCAGAAATGGGGAAGCGGGAGAGGGAACTGGGAAATAAATAGAGAGAGGAGGGGTGGGGCTGGGGAAAAGTAGGTGGTATGGTGATATGTTGGATGCAGGTAGGGAGTAGTAGGGATTGGTGGGAAGGAAGGGTAGGGTGGATATGTGGGAAAGAAGATGGTCAGGTCAAGGAGGCGGGGTTGGGAGGGAGGGTTGGTCATGGGATGAGGCCAGGGGTGGGGAGATTTTAAAACTGGTGAATTCCATGTTTAGGCCATCGGGCTGTAGGTTCCCGAGGCGGAATATGAGGTGCTGCTCCTCCAGTTTGTGGGTGGCGTCATGGTGACACTGGAGGAGGCCCAGGATGGACATGTCACCCAGGGAGTGGGAGGGGGAGTTGAAATGGTTTGCGACTGGAAGGTGATGTCGTTTGACATGTACAGAGTGCAGGTGCTCTTTGAAAACGGTTCACAAGTCTACATTTGGTCTCACCGATGTAGGAGGCCACATCGGGAGCACCAGATGCAATAGACCACATTGACAGATGTGCAGGTGAACTTCTGTCTGATGTAGAAGGTTTGTTTTGGGCCTTGAATGGAGGTGAGGTGGGGAGGGGTAGAGGCAGGTGCAGCACTTCCTGCGGTTGCAGGAAAAGGTGCCGGTATGGTGGGGTTAGTGGGGAGTGTGGAGCCGCCGAGGGAGTTGTGGAGAGAGCGATCTCTATGAAAAGCAGATAGGGGTGGGGAGGGAAATATATCTTTGGTTATAGGGTCGGATTGTAGGTGGCAGAAGTGGCGGAGAATGATGCATTGGATACAGAGGTTGGTGGGGTGGTATGTGAGGACCAGGGGAATTCTGTCTTTGTTTTTGTTGGGGGGAGGGGATGTGAGAACAGAAGTGTGGGATATGCAAGAGATGCGGTTGAGGGCATTTTCGATCACCAGAGGGTAGAAAATGCGGTTCTTGAAATAGGAGGACATCAGGGATGTACGGGAGTCGAACGCCTCATCTTGGGAGCAGACGTGGCGGAGGTAGAGGAATTGGGTAATATTGGGTAATATTAAGATAACATTCTTGCAGGAAGGTGGGTGGGAGGAGGTGTATTCTAGGTAGCTGTGGGAGTCAGTGGGTTTGAAATAGATATCAGTTTCCAGGTGGTTACCAGAGATGGAGACAGAGAGGTCCAGGAAGGAGAGAGAAGTATCAGAGATGGGCCAAGTGAACTTAAGGTTGGGGCGAAAGCTGTTAGTGAAGTTGAAGAACTGTTCAAACTCCTCGTGGGAGCATGAGGCAGTGCCGATACAGTCATCAATGTAACGGAGGAAGAGGTGGGGGATAGGGCCAGCGTACCTGTACAAGAGGGACTGTTCCAAGTATCCTACAAAGAGGCAGGCATAGCTTGGGCCCACGTGGGTACCCATGGCCACCCCCTTTGTCTGTAGGAAGTGAGAGGAATTGAAAGAGAAGTTGTTGAGGGTGAGGACGAGTTCGGCTAAGCAGATGAGGGTGTCAGTGGAGGGGGACTGGTTGGGCCTGCGGGACAGGAAGAAGCGGAGGGCCTTTAGGCCATCTGTATGGGGTATGCAGGTGTATAGGAATTGGATGTCCATAGTGAGGGTGAGGTGTTGAGGACCAGAGAATTGGAAGTCTTGTAGGAGGTGGAGGGCGTGGGTGGTGTCACAGACGTAGGTGGGGGAGTTCCTCAACCACCACCTCAGAACCCAACCTGATCTAGGACCTCCATCTCACTGTGCCCAGCACCATTCACCATACAGTTACCTCGGCCTCTCCCGCTGATAACACCAACCACGGCACTTCCACCGACACCATCCGCGTCACTTCCGCTGCCACCGACCATACTGCTGCTGCCACTGGTACCACCGTGCCAACACCACCAACACCACTCGCACCACCAACGCCACTCCCAAAGCCAACACCGCTCCCACCGCCAACACCGCTCCCACCGCCAACACCACTCCCACAGCCAACACCGTTCCCACCGCCAAAGCCACTCCCACTGCCAACACCACTCCCACCGCCAACACCACTCCCACCGCCAACACCACTCCCA